TACACAACAAACATTCTTCTCTCAGTGACAGCCACGAGAGATGTGGGGTGTACCCAACAAAAACTGTGCCTAAGGGGAAAGACATCAAAGCTGGAAAGGCAGGGGAAGGTGCAAGCCATTTCAGTTTGGGATACTGATATTGTAAGAAACCTCCTGCATGCAAAACAAACCGCACTGTAGCTGAACTTCACCCACAAACTCACTTCCCCTCGAATCCAAAGTCCCCATCTGCATCCCTGCACATCCAGACACTGGAACAAGCATATCCAAAGGCTGGCAAGTATTTTCTTTTTGGAGTTTTACCCGCTATTAGGAAATTGTAGGGGATCATTTTCTGACAGGGGACATGCATTTGCAAATTTAGAATTTGCATCTAATTTTTAAAATGAAGATTTAGGGTTTCTCCCCCTGCACATTCCTGCAGCACAGATATATGTGCTTTGAAAGATTTGTTTGGTGAAGAATAAAGATGGCAGTTTTCCCATAATACATGGTGATTGTGTTCCACAGAGCACGGAGACAGAGAGAATAACACTGCTGTAAACTCAAAATCTGCCTCCTGCTGTTTTTCCTGAAAGCAATACACTAAATACTATCTGTTTGGAGACCCCAGCGTGAGTCTACTTCAATCATCCTTTCCATAAGTTAGTGTTACGGAAGGCCAAAAACATTGAAACACTAAAGTTTGCTTTGTTCCCAGGTCCTCCTGTTCTTGATGCAAACAGATCACAAGACAACAAAAAGCCAACTTAATGACACTTAAACTTGTGCCTAGTATTAAAACTGATTAAGAAATCTGTTTCATAGGCGATCCCAAACAATTGGCAGCCGCAGCAGACACTGGAAATGTTTGCATGGAAAGCCAGCTGTATGATTAGCCTCTGCCTTCATTTGCCCAGCAATTTAGGGGAAACCCTGCATTTAGATCCCATACAACTAAAAGGAATTCCCAAGGAGATTACAAGATTTTGATCTTATTGTTTAATTCCTGTGGCTGAGAATGAAAAGGAGCATTGCCTCAATCTTTGGGTAAAGGGAAACCCAAAGGCATTTTGAAGACTATTCACACCACTCAGCTTAAAAGATGGGCTAAGGGTACTGACAGCCTCTCTGGAGTCCCTCTACAATAGGGAGAGCAAACTTGCTCCAGGGGAGCCCTTAGTTCAGCTCTGACAGACCTGCTCCTTCTCAACTGGAGAAAAACTCCAGGGAGACATGCTGGATAATTTATCTGCTGAAATGTAGCACCAAAATTGGTGTTGTGTGAATGAACCTCCATTTCCCCTCTACCATTTGCCTCAGCTGCTCTTGGGCATTAATTATATTTTCCTTGGGTTTTTTTAACTGCAAGCATTATTATTTTATGTGTGGTGGAATAGATGCCCTATTACATCAGTGAAATTGGCTTTGCTTTTCCTTTTTACTGCCACCCTGTTCTCATCTCTTCCAACCAATCTCTGACTCCTGATTTTACACATGGAATATTTCCCTGCAGAAATGATTTCAAAGAGAATTGTAAAAGCCAGATAATTATCCAGTGATTTGACTGGAGCAGTTTTCCACAAAGCTGATTATTTATGATTTTGAATTCCTCTGAACATATGTGCTGTGCAGAGATCTCTAATCCAACTGGTGAGCTGGTTGTGAAGGATCCCACTGGGTGTCCAACAATGGGTGTCCAACCCTCTCCCGGTTCTTTCACCAGAGTGCATCCAGGCTGCTGTTCTGGAGCACATCAGGCACATACCAACCCCCTGCCAGGACTGCACCATGCCACTGGAGCCCAGTTCAGCCTCCTTTGTTCAAAAGGCAGTGGAATTTAACCATCATGCATTTTCCACAGCACTAAACATCACACAGAGCATGGTTACTTGTCTCAGCACCTTCGGAGGTACGTATGACATTCTTTAAAGACACAGAAATATATACAGAACAGGAGGGGCAGGTTTGATCTCAGGAAGAGGTTCTTTCCCCAGAGGGTGGCTGGCACTGCCCAGGCTCCCCAGGGCAGTGGGCACAGCCCCAAGGCTGCCAGAGCTCCAGGAGGGTTTGGACAAGGCTCTCAGGGACAGGGGGGGATTGTTGGGGTGTCTGTGCAGGGCCAGGAGATGGACTTGGATGATCCTTATGGGTCCCTTCCAACTCAGGGTATTCTGTGATGCTATAACTCTATGATACTTAAAAGAATTAGCATACCCAGAGAGGGAAAAATGCACTCCTGAAATTGCATACTAGAGCCCAGGTAAAAAGCCTCAAATGGACACACATCATATATGTATTTCCATGCACATGTACAAATACATGTAAACACAAAAACTTACATAAATGTATGTGTGTGCACATCTGAAAAATACTCAACTGCAGATATTCAGAGCAATTTCTATAAACTCCTTCCTCTATCTTCCCTTTTCAAGGCAAGTGGATTTTGTAGCCTCTCACTGAAATACAGGGAAACAAATTTTCTCCATATTCTTCCAGATATCTGCGTCATCAGCACCACAATAACACTTGATAAGACTTCCTTCTTTTATTTGTAGGGTTTTTTAATTATTTGTAGGTCTCAAAGAAAAGCAGAAATAGCAGGGGGGTTGGATCTAGATGATCTTTAATGGCCCTTCCAACCCAAACCATTCTGTGATTCTATGATTCTGGAGTTGCAGAAAGTGGGGATGTGTGAAACCTCTGTCCCCTTGACCCGGGAACAGAAGGCAGCCTAGTTTAGTTGTAAATGCCCTGCCAAAGGCCCCAGCAGGAGCCCAGAGCCAGGGCTGCAGCTCAGCTGCCCTGCTTTTGGGTACACGGCTCAGTTCCTGCAGCACACCGAGCGACAGCTGTGATGGATACACCTTCACTGGCAAGCACCTCACAGCCCTGCTTCCTTATCTCCCTCTTTAAGAGATAAGCTACTTAATATTTGCCCCTGGCTGATACCAACCCATGTGTCATGACAGGCCTGGCTGTGCACCCGTGGTAACCTTTTGAGCAGACGCAGGCGCTTGCAGCCAGAGCCCCGGCCCCGGAATGCCCTGCGAGTGCTTTCACAGCCATGACTCACAGAAATGCCTTCTGTTCTCAAAAGGCCACGAGCAATGCAGCAGGACAGGTTTGTCCACCCACTGCATTTTGTTCCAGCAATTCTGGCACAGAGCTGAAGCTGGGATCAAATAGTCTTAGGAAGCCAACATGCCAAGCTTGAGGAGTAGGCTAATGTAAATATATAATGGCGTGGGAAAAAGTCTTTTGTTTGTTAATAGGAGGTGATACAGAATATCTGTTGTTCGGGACAAGCGACCGCAGAGTTGTTGGATTGCATTCAACAGTGCCCAGTTGCCTTTCTTTCGGGGCACAAGTTGCTTTCCTCTCCGTGCGTGTGTGCACACGCACCTGGCAAGGATTTCAGCAAGGCAGTGCCTCAACAAACTTTTCATTCCGTGAAAAAAAGAGGGGAAAAAGGGTATTTTGGAGGAATCTAAGCAAGAAGTACCTGGAGATGGGTCGCAGCAGCATGGTACGAAAATATGTGCTTTGGAAATTTCAGCTGGCTACCTAATCCAAAACACTCGTGGAGGAAGGGGAAGGAATGAGGAAGTCAGTTTGTGGTTACCACTTCTCTGGCTGTGAGATCCAGAACATAATTACTACAGAGCTACAGTTCAGCCAGCTTTTGACAAATGAACCACCAAGAGTTTTCTCTGCATGTTTTCTATTCAAGTGTGTTTAGTCATAAATACTTGGTTCTAATGGCACTTTCTTAGTCAAACAGAGCCACTCCTAAGCATTAATATTCTTGGTATAAGACTGCTCTTTTATTCTGGTTGAAGGTCTTTTTAGAGAAGTTGAATATTCTGCATTTTTTTCCAGCCACACTAATTTCAGCTAATTACACCCCTAGCACTCTACATCTCCAAACCCTTTGCAACAGTTCATATACTCTGTGCTGGGAGGTTGCCATGAAAGAGAAATCATCCCTGTGATATCCAGTAAAGTTATCAAATTAATTTTACAAAAGGAAGAAATCATAGCAGAAGGACACAAACATCAGGTCAGAACACCACATTTCTTTGTTTCCAAGGACCTTATTCAAATTCAGCTTCTCTAGTCTCCAGGATAATAAACCAGAAACTCCTGAGTTTATAGTGCTCCCAATTAGTTTGTCCAGAGGTATCCTCATTTAAGAGGGATATAAATCTCTCTCTCCCTCTACTTTTATATACATAAATATCAAATTTATTTATATCTATAAGTATCAAAGACCTGAAGGAAGAAGCAATGAGCCATGAACAATCCCTGCTGGTCTTGCTGTATGCTTTGGCTGTATTTGACAACTTAATATTAAAATGATAATGCACGTGTGCAAAAGGTTTATTTTTAATCAGTGCATATTTTTCAAATCATATTACTTTTGAAGTCAGAGGCAGTACTCTTTTTCATTCTTTGCACTTTTACAAGCAGATAATAAGAGGTACTACAGCCCTTTTGGGGCTTTATTTCCTCAAGTGGAAATTAAGATGTAGTAAATCAAATACCCTCTACCAGTATTTGAACCATTTGTATAGTTTTTGATTCTGTGTGAGCAAGTTATGTCTACATAAAACACACTCAGTGAAAGTACCAGCATTGTCAATTTTTGTTTTCAGGTATTCCTGAAACTCTCTCCCCATCCCTAACTACCTACCATCAAAGAGAATAAACACAAATGAAATTTTTCAAAACCCAGCCAAATGGATGCTTTCCCAAGGGCCTGCATTTAAAAACAGCACCCTCAGTTTTGTTTAAAGCCTTTTTGCATTCCAGAGGTGCCTCTTTTCCCTAGATGGGTTCACTTGAGCTTCTTTCTCCAGTTCAGCTTTGCAGTGAGCTCCACCCCCTCCCCGTGTGGTACCTGTTCCAGTGTCTCTCCTCAGGCTGAGGCAGATCCAGAAGCCCTTGCAGAGGGAGTTGGCTGCAGTCCCGAGCTCCTTTCTGCTGGCACTGCAGCCCAGGGAAGTGTTTGCCTGCTCCCATCATCTCCAGCTGAACCAGGAGGCAGCTCAGCTTCCACTGGGTGACTGCAAAGGAAGAACATCAGCTTAGGGAGCAATAAATCAAACCAAGCCCTGCTCAGCTCCCACTCTACACCCAGCAAAGCCAGACTAGAGGATGCTGCGACCTAAATGAGAGGCTCCTGTAAGTCTGGCTTCAAAGGTGATTAAATCCCTCTGGGTTCTGAACATCTCATCCTAAACTACCCATTTCTGTTTGGAAAATATTGAGACATCTTTTGTTCAAAAGCTTTGAGTTTAGCGTAATTCCCATGTTTTACTTCCCTTCAGTAACTCAGCTATGGAAAAAAGGCCTCTGCAGGGAAATTTCAGCATTAGTCTCAAAATGATAGTGTAGCTCACTCAGTCAACAGAAGCACCAGGAAAAAAAATTGATAAAAACAGGTCCACAAAAATGAAAAGATGGAAAGTCCTGAAAAGACAGTCTGTGCAGACCAGTAACGCTGGCACAGATCCTACTCAGTATGGAACTGCAGCACTTATGGGGCTGGCAAGGCTACACACATTTATCTGTCCTGTAACAGTCACACACTTGTCTTGGTTGGAAAAAACTCTCAAACTTTGCAAAGAAAAATTTCTTTGGTAGGAAAAGAGAGGTTAATCAAGGTCAAAATATGGTAGAGTTGTGAGGCACCTCTCATATTCACCATAAAAACAGATTAGCAAGTGAGAAAACTTTTTCCCTGTACTATTTTAATTATATATTATAAATACATATAAAATATACTATATATCATATATAGTATGCAATTAATTATAATTATAGTAATCAATTAATATATGAATTAATATCACACTAAACCAAATTAATATAAATTAATAAATATTAAAAATTATTGATATATTTTAATAATATATAATGACATATGATATTAACATATAATTATATATTATATAATATACCTTGTTGCCATATCGTTAAGACATTATATATTTATATGTTGATATGCTATGTTAATATGCCAGTATATATTCTCTATTAATAATTATTATTAATTATATGATTTTATATATTATGAATATTATTAGTTATATATTTTGATATATTTAATCTAAAAGCTTGAAAAAGAGGAGGAACAAGATACAGAAAGATTTCACAATTATCAAACTGAAATTAGTTGGCTGGTCCAGACCAGACCCTATCTAAAATCCAGGGAACCATAAATTTTTGTGCTTTCTGGGCAAGAGAACACTTTCCAGGACCAGCAACAAACCAGTGCAAAACACACACCCTGAGGACTCACTCCGAGGTGGATGAGGCAAACAAACAACCCCACCCAGATGACAAGGCAAATATTCCAGTCCTGCCATTTTGGCTGTGCACGTGTCAGGAAATCACAGGCACGAGGGATGCCGTGCTCTCAGGGATTGCTGCCCTTGGGAGCTGCCCTGTGTCCAGCAAACAGCCACGGCCAAGGATGTGCAGAGGCACAAGCCCAGGCTGAGCACACCTCAGACCATGTTTGCACACTCAGGGCATGAATAAAGGCAAAATTTTCCAAACTATTTTAATGTAAATAGAGGGGCGCCCACAGCCGAGCAGCCCGGCAGTTGTGCCGGGCCGGCTGCCAAGGAACAAACGTGCTGCAGTGTATTCCATTTACCCCAAACAATGGGGAAAGGGCCCTCTCGGGCTGTTCCAGCCGTGCCCAGCGCTGCTACGTGTCTGCCCACAGGTGCTGTGCCCCGCCAGCACTCCCATGGAATTGTTCCCTGCGTCTGCTTCCCTGTCCCAGCCCGGGTGCCCAGCCCAGCAGGTACACCCAACGCTGGCACAGGGTGCTGAACTGGAACCTAAATGTTTTTTACCTTCTGGGACAAAACCTCACTGTAGTAATGATGATGGGTAGCAAAAAAAATTGCTAATTCTGTGAGGTTTTCTTTCCAGTATTTCTTTTGCATTATTAAGTGTACACGTTACAATAAGAAACAGATTGAGTTCATGCAGTTTTTCCTTTGGACATAAACACAGAAAAAACCATAATAATCATATGGTTCACTGCACTGCTCCCAAAACTTTCAGCTTTCTGTTTGCTATTCTGCTGCTGTGAAATACTTAGAAGTGCATCCTGGATATTAGCATACAAATAGTGTGTATAATTCAGTATAAACTGGGTTGTTTATAAACATCAAACATTATTTATAGTGCTCACACGCATCACCATGGAAACACAGTAATTGCTATACCATTAGGACACAATTTCTCTGTGCAGTGAGGGAGAATGGCAATTTATCTGCATCTGGGTGGTTTCACATTGCTGCTTGTGGCCACTGATCTCCCCTCCAAAGCATCTTTGGATGTGGAATTAGTTTTGATTACTGAAGAGAAGATTAGATCAATATAAGAGTGAGACAAAACAGAAAAGCACATGTGAAAACACTGCAATTATTGCACGGGAGTGATGTGAACTGTTCAATGGTGGGGATTCAAAGACCAACTGAGGAATTTGCAGCCCAGCCAAAGGTCACTGTGGCCAGTGTTTCCCACTGCCCATGGTCACTGTTTCCCACTGCCCATGGTCACCGTGTGCTGCTCGGTGGCCTCGAGGAAGCACAGTATTGATTGCAGACTCAAGAGGTAAAAAATTAGCAAGAAGAGACACCCTTGCTCCTAGTTCTGCCAGTAAGGTCAAGGATTGAACAGACCCCAGAAATGCTTTTCCCCTTTAAAGAGAACAGAGTATGCAGAGTGCCAACATTTAAAGGTACAGAAGAGTACAGGGGCAGAGTTTATAAAGGATGGCTATGTCTGCATATAGAGAGACACCAACTGGGGTTTTTGTCAATATGAGTAGGAATATAAGGCATTAAGATCATTGCTTTCTGTCTGGCACTTGAAGTGGAGGCTGTGATACAAACAAACATATTCTTGGACCTAACAGTGTTAATGGCAAGATTATCCCACCTTGGCAATAACAGCTTGGTCATATCTGCCTGACAAAGGCCCTTTAAGAGAGCTAACTGAAAAGGGATGGAAATTCATCACAGCATCCTCATACCAGACTGTATTAAACCACGGCTTGAACTGATCATATGTTTGAACACAAGAAAATATAATAAAATTCTCAGCTGTAATTATCATTCCTTCCAACCAAGATGTGTAAGGGTGAGCAAAGAGGATCCTTGTGCTTTTGACGCAAGGTTCACACTGAGACTAATTTTGCAATATCACTGCAGGCAAAACGCCTAGAGATGCTAAGCTGGAGTCACAGGGTTGCTCCAAAAAGATTGCATATAGAAAGTCTCATTACTGCATGAATTGAGCTTATTCCCCAGCTGGATTTCCTGTGAAGTGTCCGGCATTTTGTCCCATCAAAAAGTGCTCCTGAATTCAGAATGGACGATTCCTTTGTGCAATCTGTCATAATAACATGGAACCAGAATGGCTTCTCTATTTCTGACAGAGGTTTTCCTCTCAGAAGGGAAAAAAAAAAAAGGTCTTCTCCCCCCTTGCAGATGTAAATTCTGCAAAGTACTTCAGGAGCCTTTAGGATAAAAAACCTGCTTGAGTAAACACAGGGTATAATTATCATCATCTGTCTTCTCTGTGAATCCATACATTTTATATTCCATTTAAAACAGAAAAAAAAGTCCTCGACGGGATGTCTTCCAGAGCACCAATTTAGCTAATGAGAGTGAATATCAATGACTGCTGGCTAATCAGAATGGTATTAGCATAAATTTTACTTAATGAGGACATATTTGCCGGGTGCCAGGAGCAAAATGGTACCGAGCTAGATTGTAAAATGCAATGGATGGGTAAGCCTCACCTGCCAAGAAAACCAGCAGATCAAATAAACAACTGCATCTGAGGTTCCTGTTAAACTAGAACTTTTGGCAACCCGGGATTTTAACCTCACTCGAGGCTTTTCGAACTTTTTCATTACAACAGAATGTTATCAGCTCTAACTGTGATGAATTAAACACCCTGGGGAAAGCTTGACAAGAGATTCAATTGAACTCTATTAACCTCACGTGGGTAGGTAGATCACTGAGGGAACTGGCTTTCTCTTTCATTTAAAGGCATGCAATAGATGCACTCTGCTGCCCAACAAAAGTGTTATTTTCCCTTTGTGCATTGTGTAAGGCTCTCCTGAACAGCCCCCACTGCTGCTCTGAGCCCCAGAAGCAGCAATGTTACATTGCCCTCTGTCTGCCTGCCAGGGATCTCCCCTGGGGCCGGTCTTGTCCCGAAGGAGTTAAGTGCCAGCAGCATCCCAGTGCCCTTCTGCTCACTGCATTTCTTCCCCTTTATAGAGAATCCCTGTTAGACAGTCTGAGAAGTCTCCGTGAACAATATGAAAGATTTTTGTCTACAGTAACATAAAGAGGTTAGAGTTCAATACTCTCACAAAATATTTAATCTTGTGAAATGCTTTTTGTAGTGTCATTCTTGTATATACCTGCTTTGAAATTCCTAACCTCAGATTCTTCTATGTAAAGGAATATAGGGCACAAGTGTTCTTACCTTTGATATACTATAGGATCTAACAATATTTAACTGGTGAAGTCATTTTTGTTTCCAAACCTGTGTCTCAAATATGCTTGGGAACGTGGAAACTCACAATGCCCTTATTCATGACATCAAAATCAGTTCCATGGTAACACATTGTGATGACAAAATACACAGATTGCAAGGTCACAAGTCACACTTAAGAACAGGCAGGGGAGAAATTGTTAGTTTAATGAATAACATTAGTCAGTTCCAATAGGAATAAAAATAAAGAAAAAAAATAAAGTGCCTAAAGTAAACACCCTTAAATGCACTTCAGAACCATTTCATCTTAAGTAGTTCTTCAAAGGCAGAAGGCTTCCACAGCTTTCACCTCTGCAGCAAAGAGAAGCCCACGTGCAAAGAAAAGAGGCACCCTAAGCTAATGATGGCCCTGGCAATGCCTTTCCTCCCTGTGCACAGAGAGAACCAGCAACTGCAGGGGAGAAATGGGGGAAGAAAAGGAGTCACATCCATTCCAGGCTAAATCCCCCAAAGCAACTAATGATTCTCATGCTCAGCAAGGACTGGGTTTTCACACACAGTGACAAGCCACTTCTGAACCTCGCATTTCCTTGGTCCATAGCCAGGTGTTTGGAATATTTCTGTCACAGAACTGTGGGACAGATCCTCCTGCTGAATTTGAGGTGATGCCCTCACTGCTGATTTACTGAACGCTGCATCACAGGGAGGCAACTCAGGTTTGTGGGGCTGTGATGTACTCAGGACACCTCTGACATGAGAAATCCCTGCAACTACCTCATCACCTGGGTAGATAGAGCCTGCAAAAGGGAGAGAGGGAGAACACAACAGAGGGAATTCCCAGCCCAGTGTCCGAACAAATGCCAGGCACCTCTAAGACTTTGCCATTGCCATCACATTTGCTTGTGACTTCTCAGGGCAACGACAGGAAAAATGTGGAGTACTCCAAGCAAATGAAGCAGAAAACCCTGTGGTTAAGGGAATGTTCTTGCATATGGCATGTCTTAGTCATTAGGTGGTTGGTCCATGAAGTCACTGTACAAAAAGTAACAAGCACACTTTTGAATGGGTTTTCCCTCCTGACTCTCACATCTAAACCTTCTTTGAAAGCACAACTGAAATATGTCACATACAATCTATTTGACACAGCTGTGTCATAAAATTGGCACTGTGTGTTCTGTGCTTACCACAGTCTGAAAGGTCAACAGAGAGGATAGATTTCCTTTAACCTCTTGTTTAAATAGCAACTTATTTTTATTAGAAAAGATGTTATTTTTTTTTACCATATCATGGCAGACAGCCCTATCCCAATACATCCTTGCATAAACAGTGACTGAATAGCCAAAAAACAAATTGCAACTTAAACTCTACAAGGAGAACCACCACAGATTAGTTTTCTTTCCATATATCAGAGCAAAGGATTTGAAAGGTGGGACCATTTCAAAATAGATCGGGGAGCAGCATCTTTGATTTTTATTTAAATGATGTAAAATCACTGGATTATTAAAAAATAATGAAGCCTGCTTTGGTAAGGCATTAACATTTTTAACATAGCTCTGACAGTGAAGGGGATGGTAAAATTCCCTCTATATTATATAAAAGGGCTTGACAGTTGCATACATACTTAACCACAGGTGGGGGGCTCTTCTTAATTTGGTGTCTATCATGTGATGCTTCATAAGCAAAGAATAGCAGGCCATGCTGCTTTATTCAATTGGGTTATGCTTTTACTCTTTCTTCCTGCGTGTGAAAAGCATAACAGAGAACTAGCAGAGCAGAAGTAAGATGTGTTTTGTTAGTTGTCTGAAGCCCTGGGGCCCGGAACCGGATAAGTCCTGATATTATACCCTGGATTGAGCAGAATAAATCCATTTTGTTTCCTCCAAACATTTAGCCATTAAAAAAATATGAGATAGAAAAACAGACTTTGCTGTCTGCATGCCTTCTTGTAAAGCTTGTATTGTGGAAATGTCAGAATCATTAGGTCACTGGCATATATTTTGCAAGCTAATGCTTCTACTTTAATTCTCACTGGGGACTGCATGTCTGCTTTTCAAATAAAACCCAGACTGAAGATGGTGAAGAGAGCTTAAAATGATGCTGGTAACGCTCTGTGATGGCTGATAACACTTCGGGATATGAATAATTAGGAAATTATCAGCCAAGGTTGATACAACTACAGCTATTAAAGCACCAAGCCCCACAAAAGTAATTGGTAAGTGTTAAAATTGCCTCGTAAATATTTGTGGCTCCCTTTAAATGTGCACAGAGACACGACTGAATAAAGTTTTAAAATAAACACAGCACAAGAAATAAATTTAATATGTGAAATCATGCACACAAGAGGAGAAGCACAGCGGGTTATACTTCAGAGAAGACAAGTGGATGAATTTGCTCCCGAATCACCCAAGGCAGATCAAAACAGTGGTCAGGGAAACACAAGCCCCATTCCAAAAATAGCTGGTTGTCTCTCAAAACACAGATCACTGATAAAATCTGGCGGGAGTTGAAGGAAGAGGTTAATAGGAGTAGACATAATAACACGAGGAGAAACACTCTCCACTCACAACTGGATAAATAAGTCTTGAACTTGCAGCGGTTCCTCCCGTGCCAGAGCTCTGACTGCCCAAATGAGCTGCTCAGCTCTGCACAGACACAGGTTTCACTCTGTGACTGAGCACAGGAGCCCCTCTGCTCCAGGGAGAAAGGTTCACTGACAGTCCTGCTCCTGCAGGAGCTCACCCAGCTCCCCTGGCAACTCCTGCAGCCCTGCCCAGGGCTCCCAGCCTTGGCACCTCCAGGCTCTCCACCTTGAGCTTGGGGCTCCAGTGAACTCAAAATAGCCCAGCAGTGGAATCCCAGCCAAACCACCGAGTGCTGCCTCGTTTTTATAGCACGGCCAGTTGAAACCATTCAAAACCACAAGTTTACTGTGATTCTGATACCAGTTTATAAATCAGCCCAGACTTATCTGCAAATTAATTTTGAGTCAGTAGGCAAGTTGGTGAACTTGAATAAAACTTCAGCCAAACACAGTTTTTATTCTGAATTTCTAAACAAGTCCTTAAACTAAACAAATCCCATTCCGTTTCTGTTTTCACTGTGGACATCTCGCACAGCCCTAACGAGATGCAGATTTTTGGGTCCATTTTCATACTGCAGGCTCCATAACATATCCTCCAGGATATATCCTGACTGACTCTCACAGGAACTTCATGCACTGTGACACACTGGCTTAGAGTTACATGGCTCCAAAACAGGAAAATCAGCTTTGAACACTGAAAGGTGCCATTTCACCTGGCGTTTTCCAGGCTATTAGTTTAACTTATGAGTACTTAAATAAATCAAAACTTTCCTGTCAACTTCTATAAAGCAAAAACACAAGACCCAAACAGATGTGAGCATATGCATAAGCACAACTCCACAGCCATCAGAACAGATACACATTGTAAAACCTGAATCATGCTCAGATGGAGAAAACTTTTCAAGTTTTACTGATCCCTTTCTTCAACCTGGTCTCCTCTCTATTTATTTTACTTAAAAATCAGTCTGGCTCTACAATCTATGCAAAACCCATTCTGTGTTACTCCTCTGAAACTGTACAGCACTTGGATTATCCTGTACAAATAAAAGATGAGTTTAAAGGCCCTCAGCTTTTATTTGTAAGTCCCTCCCCTTTTCTCCACTGCAGAGGTGAGATAGTCAGTAAGTAACTCATTAGAAATGCTAAATTGAGTTTCGCTCAATTTTGCTTATGATTCATTCTTGTCCTTTGACTAAGTGTATTGGGAAAAGATTAATTCCCAAAAGCTTGATTACTGGAATAAAATAATTTTCAGAATGTAAAAAAAAATTAAAGTACAATCTCTGCACTGCAAATAATCCTGTTAAAGCAGCAGTGTCTGACAAAGAGCACAATGTCCTCTCAAACATCAGTACCTTCAGTGAATGTCTGTGGACTCTTCAGAGAGGAAGACAGTTCACAGAGAAATCTGAATTATACAGTTTCTCTAAAATACTGTGGAAGGCAAGTATGTTTGGAAACATTTTCAAAAAGTGGATATGTATTTTCAGAAATGGTTTTGGATATAAATTTTCTCTGATTACTAGATCAGTGGTATACCTATTTATTCTTAACTGCTACACAAAAAGAGCCTGCCAAGTATTGGCCTCAGGTATTTTCCTTTCCAGATCAAGCACAAGAGCAACTGGAACATGATGAAAAAGCAGCCCATGTTATTGCTCCTGTGAGCATGAGGGCAATGTTTTTGTGGGTTAGAGCAAAAGAGGACACGCAGCTGGAGAAGCAGCCATCTCAAAGGTGTGGAGCATTTCATTTCACCCTGGCCTTAGATTTTCAGCTGGCTTTGTGGTGAGCCCTCTCTGCCCTGTTTTCTCACTAATTCCCTCTTTTCACAGCTTTCTCACTCTAGGTAGGGCTCGCTGGCTGAAGGAGTAGCCCAACATCACTGTGAGGCTGCTCTCTGTACTCTTCAGAAGGTCCTGGGAGCTGGGGGAGACTCCTGCTCACTGGACAAAGGCAAACACCACCCACTTCTGCCAGGAGGATGGTCTGGGTCAATCAGCCTCACATCAGTCCCTCTAGGGAGCTAATCCTGTGGGACTCTTTTCATATGCAGCTATGAGATTTTACAGATTTTTTTTTAGATTTGGGTGCATAAGTTATTCTCACACCCAGAGAGTGTGTACAGGCTACTAGTCAGCTGAAGTTACCAAAACCCCTTTGAAAAGAAAACCTGTTTATGGGAAAGGAATTGATAAAAGCTTTCTTTGGTGGCACTAGAGCGAAATCAAACGCTTATGTCTGGGTATGAACTGCATGCGAAAGTATAACAAAATCTCGAAGAAATAACATTTATAATTGTTTTCTTATAAAACATTGTCAGGAAAAGGAATACTTACTCAAGAGGTGAAAATGCCAGATATTAGGTTGTTAAGAAAGTGAATACAGGAGGAAGACAGAAGCCGTTAAAAGCTCCAAAATATATTCTCAGATGTTTTTAATGGCATAGAAAAGCTATCGACGGAATACAAAATAAAGTTAACAGAATTCAATTTC